AACTACATAGTAAAATGTACTTAACTACTTGTGGTCAACGGTGTTGGTTTCACAATCGCAAGCTGTAATGATTTTATTACTAGTTTAAATAATTTCATTGAGAAACTGTTTGTTTGTCCAAAAAAGTAAAAAAAAAACTGTTTTCCCGCGTCTTCGACATTCCGATATCATCTCATCTGCGTCTATTACGGTTTCTAGTAGGTTTTTTTTTATCAGTCCAATAGTTTCGGAGCCTATTTCAATGCTTACGATCAAATCTTTCCTCATTTATAATATTAGTATACAGACAAGTTATACATTGTATATATTTGTTATAAAAAAACATAAAACATCAGAGTTATTTTTAAAAGCCATGGCCAGACTAGATATGTATGAACACTTTTAATTCGGACGTCCATATAATACATATATAAAACAGACTCATCATCATCAACCCTTATAAGTTATCACTGCAGGGGTTCAGGCCTTAGTGTTGTGAAGTGACCGTAGTGAAGTTAGTGTGTAATTTGTTGTTAAGAGTTGTTTTTGTGATTTTGTTAATTAAATCAGTCTAATTGTGAACTTAATTGGCGTTAGTTTTAATCCCGAACCGTAAGTCGTAACACTATAATTATAATTATCATCTAATTGTTACGTCACAACTTGAGAGGCCTCCGTTATAAACCGTCGTGTAGTATACTTTTATTACGAAAACTAATTACGCAAGTAGCTCGGTGGCGTAGTGGATAAGCGCCGCGGCCCGCGATCGTAGTCTTTAAGCAACTTTCGCAAGGGTCGGTCACGGAATGGGTGACCAAAAATTATTGTCTCGAGCTACTCCGTGCTTCGAAAGGCACGTTAAGCCGTTGGTCCCGGCTGTATTTGCAGTCGTTAATATCCTCCAATCCGCATTGGGCCAGCGTGGAGGGTCATGGCCCATCCTCCTTAACCATCCATAAGGAAGGCCTGAGCCCCTGCAGTGGGGACGTAAAGGGGCTGGTGATGATGAATTACGCAAGTGACTTTTGAAGTTAATAGTGATCATATTAATAATTAGTTTTTAGTATTTTCCTTGTCGATGAGATGCGTATTGCGTAGAATGAGAAATATCAAAATAATCTTAAATTATAACTCGCAAATCGCTCATAATCCAAATAATATAGGTAATTCTTACTGTTTTTTTTTTATTTTTACGGCAATCAGGAGTAAATATACGAACAAAACATTAAATGAGTCAAATATATTTTTAATAATAATTTAAATTAATTAATGTAAACGTTTCCATATATTTTTTTTTTGATTGTGAGATCGCTCATAATCCAAATAATATAGGTAATTCTTACTGTTTTTTTTTTTATTTTTACGGTAATCAGGAGTAAATATACGAACAAAACATTAAATGAGTCAAATATATTTTTAATAATAATTTAAATTAATTAATGTAAACGTTTCCATAATTCTTCTTGGATTGTGAGTGTGTTTATTAAAACTTTTGTGAAAGTAGTAAAAAAATCAACCTCTTCGTCTTAAGTAAACACGGAAATGGTAAAAGGTCCGAAACGTCATGAGAACTTGTTGAATTTTAGAGATTTTAGCTTAATTTCCCTTCGAAGTGCAGTTTATATCGACTATATTAGAATTATTCATAATCAATTCAAGGTAAAACTGATCTTTTGTGTTCCCTTAACTGTCACAGATGTCGCGGTACATAAATACTATGTATTAAGTTTTTTGTACAAATCTTGCTCACCTACCGATCAAAAAAATATATTGTTCTGTCACGCGTTTTGCAGCTCCCTTAAATCTTATAATGAAACAATTGTTTATAATAATAATATTTAAGTCTTGAATAAAATATGAAGATATAATTCCACTTATAAATAACTTTGTATGTCAGCTGAAACAGTTTCTTTATTAGGCAGATCCGATAAGAAAATGGATTAATCTTGTGTAAAACGAATTGTAAAATATCTGGAATATAAAATAATAGAAATTAATAATCAATAAAATACTTAAAGTGCTAGCACATTTTCATTTCTATTACCTATTTCTTTTGGCGTCAACCACAAAACGTATTAACAAAACACAAATACTAGAGAACCATGTCACTATGCCAACGCATGATAGCTGGCATTCAAGAACCATTAATAGAATACTAAATTGTCCAACACAAATATCTTTATAGTAAAATGAATTCTCGCTATTTAAATGAGTTCAATTTCGCAAATATTACAGTAAAATTTACTTAGAAGTAACAATAAGTAAATAAATAGGAGTTCTATTAAAAAAATATAGATTTTTAATCGAATACGAAATTTAATGAACGAAACGTAATGAATTTAGTATTCATAAAATTCTCTGAATTAACACATAAATAGTAAGTAATTTTAAATTTAAATTTAAAACCAGCCTAAATAAAGGTAAATTTTTACAGGCCAGATTTTTTAATTATGACATAATGTTTTTGTAAATATAAGAAATATGAAAAAGAAACCTTCATTGCAGCGAATATGAAAGGAATAATTGAATATTAAATGTTTCGATGAAGTCCAGAAAACTCTAAAGACCTTGGACATATGCCAACAGTACGTCCAAATGTTGAACATTGACAAATTAATGACTAGTTTTTTTTTTCTTATAACAAATTAAAACCATTGACTTAAAAATATTGAAATAACTTCCGAAATTCACAAGGTGCTGGTTTTTTTTGAACCTGGTTATTTTGTACTGTCTGTTTTGTTATATAATGTATTAAATAAATAAAATTATTTTTTCTTAGGTAATAAAAATTCCCATTTTAAACGTAGGTAAATTACGCTAATACGCATAGGTAAGCTAGTTTTTAGAGTACAAAGTTCTTTACTGTAATATATCACTGTTTCTATTACTAGGCTCAATGAGAAATAAGCATCAAACTAATATGTATGAATGGTTGATTGAATCGATTAACAATAAAAGTATATTTACTACTACAATTATATTAATAAATTAGAATCAAAGTGATAAAAGTATTAAACACGCCGGTGGCAAAATTAGAACCCAAAAAATACTCTTACATTTTCAGAGTCACTTGGGTGGGTAAATATTTTAATGACTCGAATGATGAAACTTCACAAGTAAAAACATATATATACGAAAGGAATAATAAGGATATAAAATATCATTAACCTGTTTTTGAAGGTGGAAGTCAGGATTACGCATTTTTAATGGCCATTATCTCTAAAGTTATTGTTCGGTTAGTTTAAAAAATGAACTTTCCGAGTGAGAACACATAATATAAAATAACTGCCTCTTCTTCATAAATTCATTGTTTATAAAAATAAAATTACATAAGAGCGTGATGATTCATGCAAAATGCTTTGACTAGGTGTATGATAAAGTAAGATAAAACTTGACATTCTGATCTCAATGCGATGTCATAATGTTATTTTCAAGATTACCTTATCGTAACCCTAATAAGTTGTATACAGTAGTTATTTATAGAATGATTAGCCTCTATTACCATTATTGATTCTGAGTGGTTACCTATTTTAACGGCGACATTATGTCTAATGGAGCAATAGGTGCAATTACTGAATGTTTGAACAAATAGAAAGTTTCCTTTGTTTGTTTTGTTTACAATTGTTTTTTTTTTTATCAAGAGACGTTTCTTGCAAAAAACTAGATAAATGACAAAAAATAAACCACTTATAAAATACTATTAGGATTTCTTAAATTGTTATTTTTCGTCTTATTCATTTGCAACTTTATTTAAAATTGGTTAAGTTCAAATCTGATTTCGGAAATCTTTTACTTTAAGATCTGTTACTTTAAAGCAACCTAAACTTAAAATGGGTAAGTGCAGAATTAGCCCATTACTACGATATCAGTTAGTCAATTAGTTCCTCATTATAGAATGAGAAAAATACTTAATGTGTCTTTGCTTTGAATAGAAAATTATCTTTAGAAAATTATATTTCGATATAAGTATTGCATTGCAATAATACTATTTTTCCAGTCAATTTGGTGTTTACTCATTCTTACCGAGAAAAAAAATAAAGAAAGTTAAGTATATATTTCTTTTTTTTTTCATTAACAAAAAAGGAAAGAAACATTCACAGGCCAACAAATAAAAAAGCGGAACGAGTTGTATTTGCATAATTCCCTCGAAGAAGCCATTGAAGCAACAGAACACAAACTCAATTTCAAAAACCAATTTCAGCCAGCGCACACGGTAACCGTTTAATCTCTTTAAAAATTAAATTCTTTTCGTTTCGTTTGCAATTTTGTTTCCACGAATATTATATCGGTTTTCATTATGGCTTAACAAAACAGCTCAAATGCTTGTTCATATGTTGAACAAAAAAAAATGTGAATTACGAAATTCCAATTCAAAATCTACTCTTTGATTAAAATGAACAACGTTTGAAATGCACAAACGTAACTATGGCCAATTATATAAACGCTTTTGAAATAGGTCGCAAATTAATGCAAATTAACCATAGTTAGGCGTGTCCCATTATTTGACTGCGGCTAATTCGTGTTCATAATGTGACAACAATTGAATAATTTGCCATTAATGAGGCTGCCATTATTGGATTCAAATCATTAACTTCCGTTTCCGTGAATTAAAGTTATTACTGAATTCTGGTAAATCTATTTTTACTGTACATATATATATAATAGTATCACAGTCTGTGGTTGGTACTATTAACAACGCTTTTATTAGTTGGATTGCAAATATGACTTACGAAATGCAGAGATAAACTTTAGAAAGTGCCCGCAACGACAAAAATTTATATCAACATATAGGGTTACAACATACAAGCCCTTGGTTTTTTATATATTACTCTTTAATATAAATTATCTAAAAGCAATTTAGTTCCCAACATCCACTAATAACCGAATTTATCATGATTATCTTGATCGTTACCGTAGATTAAGATCTACCTTTATCAAAAATCAGTGATCAAAAAACATTCTACACTATTGTTAATCAGTAATTGTTACGTCAATATGATTTTGACAATTAAACTATCATTAAGACCGATATTGTGTTCATAGAAGTCATTCGTCATTTCCAAATCGGAGTTTCGAAGGATCACACCTAGTGAAGTAAATGATAACAAAGTGAGCAGTCGTAATAAGTGGGTGAAACTGTAAAGTGTCAATGATGGGACTAAGAAGGAACTTGAGTGTTATGCGGCTCGGGAGGTGCATCGCATTTCTTGCAGCGGCCGCTTTTCTACTGCCATTCACGATTCTAGTGATGGTGGCTGATCAACAGTACAACTTGACGTACAGCTCGAAACGGGTGTTTTATCAAGAGGTGAGAGGATTTTTTAATATAACGTCTTGTGTCTTGGTCAACTTTGTAGGTACTTCAATAAGTTGGATGGATTGGGTGATCGAGACAAACTTCAGTGGATGGTCGTACTTCGGTCGTATAAAGCGATCGTAATCGACGTTACAACTTCTCTGAATGAATTCCAAGACAATAAGTTTTTGTCACCCATCCGATAATTGACCTTAACATTTTTTTAACACCGAAAACTGCCAAAAATTCAATTATACCGTGATATTACATTTAATAACAAGCTTTTAATTTTCTTTATACATTCTTTTTAGATAGGTGCATCGGTAGCCTACTCTTATTTTCCTTTTACGTCACAACACCATATCTAATTTAAACTACATATAAATATATATTAATTATTTATGTTGGCATTTAAAACATTAGCTTGCAAAACACCGAATAAGCTGCAATCTATTTGAAACATTAATCTTTTTTAAACAATACGGATTGATTTCCAATTTAAAAAAGTAGAGCTCATCTTTTGTACTGAAACATAGGATACGAAACCACTAATTTGATGATTTAGATATTTTTGAGGATACATTGTACTATTTTCTTTTGCAGAGCGACTTCTATAGAGTAAATGGGACTTATAGCATGCCAACAATAACTATAACAACACCTAAGATGCGGTCACAGGTAACGATTGGTATTTGATACATATCCACCATTATTGTCCACGCACTGTCTTAATGTGTTTGTCTAAACCTTATTGGACCCAAGACCCGAACTAGACATTTTCTGAAAGGTTTATTATTGTAACTGTCGACACAAAAACTTTTTTTTATAATATTATTTGTTGGAAATATTTGTCATATTTCCAATTACTGCAATTTTTAATTAATAAATATAATAAATTTTAGTTCTAGCAATTTGCAATATTTAAAGAAAGAATATATAAATTGTAATTATATTAGCCCTGCGATTCTGTGAAAATTCATACCCGAATTCAAATTCACTCAGGTGTCCGAATTGACTTCAAAAAGCTGCATCCGCTCAACCTTGTATTAACGTTTCGTGGCATAAATAAAGTGAGTTTCGAAATTATATAGGAATAGAATATCTGAGATACGTATATTCAATCAATATTTTTTTGTATTTTTATATAAAAAATGGAATCAATAGAATTCCTACAACAAAAGACGTGAATTCGGACACATGAGTGAATTCCAATTCGTGCTGGATTTTTACAGAATCGCAGGGCAGGACTTCATAGGGTGGATGAGTTTAGCATACTGAACAACTTTTACTATTCTGTCTTTTAGACACGGTCTTTGTAAATGGTAAAAACAGAAAAGGTGTATCTCATTAAAAGGTAGTATCTAGACTAAGTTAATGGTATAATCCACTTTTTATTCTACGTCGGTTTAGCTGGGTCTCATTTCTCTACGATGATATGAAATCTTAAAATGGGTTAGTGTTTTTTAAAAGTGCTCTAGTTTTCGTAGTTTTTGAACTAACTGAATGATGTATGTAGTAGAAATAAAGTAAAGCATTAACTCTTTCGTACTAACTAAATAAAAAACAGATATTATACTTATTAATATTATACATATTGTCATTATGTCAATATCAATTCTACATCATTATTTGTAGAAAATTGATGATGTACCTTTATTAATCGTATTCTTTAACCCTTAGTGGGTTTTAGGTTTAGGTTTTAAGTTTCTATTTTCTGCGTTAAAAATGCATATTAGTACTATGTTTTATTAATTATCGTGTTATTAAGTGAGTCGAGTGTATTTTATTTTTAAAATGACGCTAGTTTGGGTTCCATTCCTTCGAGAAAATGATTTTAGTAATAATCGTTTCCTGAAACCCCGCTAGATTCGCGTAAATAATATTATTTATGTACTATATACTTTTTATTGGGGTCATTAAATTCCAAGAGTTACGCCCAAATTTCTAGACACTGCATGCAACGTGAAAGTACTTACACCCTGTTATTTATAAAAAAAAAAGTAATTATCTTCTTGTTGAGGCCAGTTAATCGATTATTTTTTCTATTTTAGTATAACCGTGATGTTAAGATACGTCATTTTTAAGGCCTCAACTTTTATAGAGAGAAGGCGTAACTGAAAAATAACTGATTTCCAGCACTGAGGAATTGTTAGTTTATAGACAATTTGATAAAAATTTGAATTGTCTAATCACGGTTTACAAATTATGTTCAAACGACGTATAGTTAAAAAGATATGAATTAATTTCTGTTTTATTTTCAGTTTTTTTGCTCTGGTGTATTATCTTTATAAGTTGTGATTGCCTGAGTTATGCCCTTTCTGTTTTCCATTGTCGATATATGTCTAATTTGGAACTAATGCAACATAAATATTTCTATTGCGAAGAGCTACAAGTAATATTTTCTCTGAACTGTTTCATCAAGGTTATAAAAATTTACAATCTAATTCAATTCAAGATGTCTATGAATTGATATCGTTTATTCTTTAATCAAACAAAAGAATTGTGTCAACGGAGTTTTTATTAAACCTTTTGAAAGGTCTCTTCGTGGTCGTGGTGGATTGTTGCAGTCCGTATTGTAAACACAATTTAAGACTGACTTCATTTGAGTTTACATTTTATGAAGTAAATCAAATGAAAACGTTTGATCTTGAGATTTGTTTACTTATATGGGTATTCACGCACCAAAGCTTTTAATCCAAATTAAGAAAAAAGTCTAAAGACGACTGTGCACGTTAAACAATGTTGATGTTAGTGAAATATGGTTGTGGTTATAGACACAGATCAAGGATCAAGATATTTTATAACTATTGTCATCTCTATGTTCTGTGATTGTTATCATGTGACCATATTATGTCATCATAATATATCTTGACAATAATCTGACAATATCAGAAAGGTTCTTTGTTTAGACATAAAAAAGTGCTATATTTGAAACAAATATCAATATAAATTTTACTTTCGTCCTAGTATGATAATTGGGTGAAATAATTTTTAAAGCTTACTTTACAAACCCTTGTGTTGTTAATTCCTAATTTAAAATTTAAGTTAAATATAATAACACGATGCATTATCCACATACGTTTTTCTTTTTTAGCTATAAAAATTGGTTTTGAATTTTGATATAAGATTTGTATTCGCTCAACCGTTGTCTATGAATTTAACCTAGAATTTTGTGAAGCCTTTTATTCCCGCACGAATAACACATTACAACTTACTATCGTACAATGATATTATATAATTCATTATATATTATTATTCAATATGTGAGTGTAAATAAAACCTGCCATGGCTTGGTGGGCGGTACCCACGTCAATTGTTTTAAACTACCATCATGTACTCATATATATTAATGTAGGTAGAAGGCCACACGCCCACATATGCTGTTGCTTGTTATATTGCAAAACACAAAAGTCACTATCTTAAAATTTTGATGTTCTAAAATGCAAAAATTAACTTCAATATAATAAATTTCTTAAGCGCATTGGATAAACCAGTCAGAAGCTAAATATACCTACTCGTAGTACCCATCTTAATTTGACTTGTTAGTAATAATTTCAACCAATACGTGACGGTATAGTGTAGCTGTAAATAAATAAATATTGGACAATATCACATACATCTCTCAGATCCTAAGATAAGTAATCAAGCCACCGTATTATAATATCTTGAATAACAAAGGTATCACAACATCCAAAAAATTTAAGTATGACGAAATTATTGGATACTAGCTTTATTCCCGCGAATTTTGTAGCCAATGTCACCATGTCCCGTAGACAAATGGAAGAATTATTACATTTCATCAATTTTGCATTCACGATGCTATACTGAAAAATATGCTCAATAAAAATGCAAAATAGGTCGTATATAATAATTAGAATAAATTTTCATATTCATCGAAAGTTTAAATATTAGTAGGGGAGACCTAGGAGAGTTGTGACAATTTTTACATAAGAGGCTCTATCACGCTTAAGAAACATGCCACAGTTATGACTCATGTGAATTAGTTTAGAGCCATTCCTTCTGTTTTCAAAACCATCAGTAAAATTAATTAAAGTATAATAGTTTCTGAAAAAAATAACAAAATTCAAGTCCACTCCCCTTGTCACAACTCTCCTACCACCGAGGTAAGTTGTGATATCATTGTATTTAAGCTATAAGATATAAAAATACCATTACATACGACATAAATAAATCAAGCACGTTTTTTTATCAAATCAGTACCTTAATCAGTACTATAATAATAAATTTGACTTGGAAAACACATATTGAACATGTTTGCAAAAAGTTGTCCCAGTATTCTTGTGCACTGTACAAACTTAGTAAGATCGCGAATCAGTGCACGGTCTTTACAGCTTATCACGCGTACGTAGTTTCTACTGTTCGATACGGCATTATATTTTGGGGATATTCGACTGATTCTGTAACTGCCTTTAGAGCCCAGAAAAAATGTGTTAGGAGCATATGTCATTTACAGAGCAGGGATACCTGTAGGCCATATTTTATTAAACTAAATATTATGACCCTGCCATCAATCTATATATTCGAAGTTGGTATTTTTGTCAAACAGAATCAACAACTATTTGAAAATAAGACGAGATTGCTACGATACCCTCTAAGACAGCTCTGTTGAACAAAAGTATCTTTTGTATGGCTCCAAAAATTTTTGATAAAATTCCAAAAACAATACGTAATCTGAATAATTGTAAAGTTTTTAAAAGAAAACTTTGTAAATTATTAGTAGCTAAAGTATATTATAGTGTAAACGAGTATCTAGCTGACAGTACTTTGTAAATGTATAAATACTTAATGAATTAATTGAATTTTTGACATAACATGTTATTGATTAGATTAGTTGACAATTACTAACCTACTAATATTGTATGCCTTTTAGGCAGATCACGGTGTAACTATTCAGTCCTTGCATCCAATATCTTTATATAACCTGCGATCAACAATAAAGATTGATTTGATTTGATTAATCATCTTTTAATACCTACCAACTAAAACAACATAGTATTAATATTCTCATAACAAGTAATTATAATATTTTCATTAACTAAATATGGTATCGCTTTGAGATCAATCATATTATTGTTATAATCAGTATAAAATCTTAATCTACTCAGATTCACAATTATGCCAAAACGTAATGCAGCTCGTCCGCAGTACAATCTACGTGTGCCTAGCCTTTGCATTCCAGGCTTTGGACCCACTGATCATTCGATCTGCTGTCTGCATAGGCTTCAAGGCAAACCAAATAAAAGCAATTATTTTCTTCATCACTTGTTCTATTCTTTTTATTAGTCTTCTTTGCTTTTTTAGGTTTCTTTTTTTCTTCGCTTAAGACACGCTTCTTAACATTCTTAGATTTTCAGTCTCTCGTGTATAGTTATTCGGCATTCTCAAAAAAAATAAGTATGCGGTATGCCATTATACACCTTAAGTAGCTACTAACACACCAACAAACATCTAAAGTTAATAAAAAAAATTGTAAAAATAGCCCAGCAGAAATATGGAGTAAGATAGGAGAGTTGTGACAGGCTGTCACAACTCACCTAGGTGTTCAAAATGACGTCTTGGTCCGAATAATAATTCATATTTTCTAAACACGATGCGCATACAAAAAATCAGTGCCACGTATTGAGACTTAAATAACTAAATACCTTAAGACACGATAG